TGTGTGTGTGTGTGTGTGTGTGTGTGTGTGTGTGTGTGTGTGTGTGTGTGTACGAGATACTGAGTAATTACTAAACACGCTGCTGGAGTACAGCAGAGCAAAAACACATTTAAAACATGTTCTACATTTACCGATTGTTATTTTTTGTTTCGTAATGAGTCATACTTGAGCCACATAAAAATGTACGCTGCATATATATACAGCACTGACTATCGAGTTTCCAGTGTTTATTTGTCTGGCGACTGTAGTGGTGATTTCAGCCAGTCTCAGCAGGACTGCCAAAAAGTAACACATGTGACCCTTGACCTTGCCAAAGCCATCATTCACACATGCGCGTTAGCTCACGCACACACACACACACACACACACAGTGTGAAACAAACACACACAAAGCATGAGCTTGAACCTACCTTGGTCCTGGACATAGTACGCTAGAAACAAGTCCAGCTCCTTGACCGATACTGTTATGTGGTGTGGCTGGACACAAAGTGTTGGGTTGGTGCAATGTTGAGACTTGACGAGGCGCTCCCCGTCTGTACTTTCCAGGGGGATGCCTTTGAAGAGGATGACCATCACCAGGTCCAGACGCCAAACTTTGTCGGCCTGCCTCAAGCAGTCGATCCGGCGGATCTTGCCCTTCTGGTCCGGGTTGGACAGCACGCAGCACGGGTGCTTCTTACCCGTCACGCTGAGGACAAAGTCCTCCCGGTACTCCTGCCGAATGTCCTTACGCAGCTTGGCCAGCAGCCTGGACGCCCATTTCTGCTTAACCTCGGGCTTCTCGCCCAGAAGCTCGTCCTTCACCGCACGCTCCTCGTCCTTGGACATCCGCTTCTCGTGCTTCTTGAAGTACTTGCGTTTTCTGGCCTGGAGGTTGAACCACGTGTAGGCGATGGCGCGGACGTGAGGAAGGAGCGCCTCGATGAAGGGATGAAATTCATCCTGGAGCCAGTGAAGGGACACAGTGAGGAGAGAGAAGGGGAGAAATAATCAGAAACATGGAGGAGAAATATGGGTTCAGTCAGCTACTAATCTGAGGCAGTAGTCAGACCACAAATAAACAATTCCTCATAATCAGTCCCATAACATCATATTGGCAGTTTGAACAGCTTGAACACGAGAAGTTCCTTGTGACATTGCAACACTGGTTTTACCATTTTAGATTTATCAGGCATCCTGCAGGTATGACAAGGACATTCCACTGTTTATATCAACTGCCAGGACTACAATAGCACCAAGCCCAGTGACTGAATGCACTCGCGCCTCCGCTCTCATTTCCCGAACATGCTCCGAGCGTGACTCTGTGCCGCTGCTGGGAGCATGCTTCCCCCCCCCTCACCATTGCATGTCTCTTATCAAACTATCCGCTTTCCAACGTGACCTTATCGCACGTTCACGAAGGATGCAGGATAAGCTGGAGTCACAAAATAGGAAGTAGGGGAGATTCCCATTCTCCTGGCACACACGGAACAGCCTCGTATACAGGCTGCACGTTCGAAATGCATTAAAAAACGCAAGCAGAGGAGAAGGGCGGCATGTTAAAGCAGTCCATGAAAGGTATTTGCAAAGGTTGACTTGGGACTCGATTTCAACTTCAGGGTTTTTAGGGTTAACGCGCAGAATGACACTTGCTCAGCTTCATTCCAAAAACCTGAGCCAGTGACATTCAAATCATGGCCTACTTTTTAATTTCCCATCGATACTTTAGTAAAAAGAAAATAATGATATGCTGAAACTTATTTTTATGATAAATTATCAGACTTCATTTAATATTAATGGGATTATTTTCAACACAAATTTTACTTTTCAAATGTTGTATACATAATGTAGATTGTACTTTATACCACATTATCTTTAGCTCTAAACTGGAAAATGACTGCAAACTAAATTAAAAGTTTTTTTCAATGCGCATTTGACAGAATTTCTTTTCATTCTCACAACTAAAAAAGCAAAATACCAACATTTCTACAGCAGCTGTCCAGCCTGCGGGCTCTTACATCAATAATACTTCAGCAAATCTAAAACAAATCCTAACAATCTATTAATGCTTGCTTCTCTATAGGTGAAGGAATGTATACATGATGGTGGGGGAGATTTAGGACTACAGCAGCTCCGAGTGACACGTGGAAACATGAACCCATCTATGTTTTAGGTCATTAAATTGTCAAATTTAATAAGTATGAGCAGCCCCTTCTGAGCAGGCGATTGAGGAGTTAAACCCCATATTGTTCTTTTCGTATAGGCAGCCAGGCAGGCGGGCTATAGGAAACCACAGAAATCCACCCCTATCTATGCCTGCTGCTGGTGCTGCTCTGAGAAGCTACATTTCTGGTCTGCACTTTTGGGCCAATAAAACTCTGCTCCATTACAGCAATGTCAAATTAGAATCATTTATTAAACAGCGTGAATAAATATCTAATTCTCTACAGATGGTTCTGACATGTATTGTACTTACTGTGGGTGCTATATACCTATCCATAGTAATTTAGAGACACGCAAAAAATAAATAAAATAAATTGAGAAGTGCTTTAAATGTCATCTCCTCACTATAATGTTGCCAATTAAACTGACAAAAGTAAGCAGTAAATGCTAGTAAATGTGCTCGACAGCAAGTGTTTCTGAAGTCCTTTTCACTCATGGTTTCCTGTTCAAAAACACCTTTAATATTGTGTTCATTTTTTTCAGCCAGACTAAAGCCAAATGCTGTAAAGATAAATGACGTTGGCCTATGCAGTGCACTTGAGCTGGGGCCATAAAAGTACAATCCTCTTAAGTATAAACTAAACTGCATCTCAGTCAATCACTTACTTATGCCAAGTAAAATATAAACAGTAAAACTGAGTCAGCCAAAACAGTCAGCTACTCTGTCCCACCGCTGAATCAACCTTATCATGCGTTTGATCTTCCTGCAGTGAAAGTGGCTTTATCTTCTTCCAACTCCACTTCCCAAAAGTATAGGGGTTTTACTTTAAATAAAAAATATACACGTGGGGAAAAATATATAAACACAGCTCAAGCCGGGCTGTGAGGTGTGTGTGAGGTTATTGGAGGACGCAAATAACCTAATTAAACCTGAGAGAAAATTTGCATACCTGCGCCAGGACGATTCAAATGACAGTCGTGGAATGCTATCATGAAATTCATATTTACGCATAACTTTACGCACGCAAAGTGCGCATAAAGATTGGCACTTCACTGGCTTTTTAACTGACTAGACTACTAATAAATGAATTTTCGAAAGGGGCTTTCCTTAGAATCTAAGCTCTCGAAAGTAAAAATCAACACAATCGTGGCACATACACGTGCGTTTTGGATGAACGATTTAAATTTGTGGTTAGTTCTAACGCAACATTTTCCCTTACAAAGCAAAACTTCGTTTTTGTTATTAATTATGAAAGTATTTCAAAAGCAGAGCTGAAACTGAACTAATCCTGGCGCAGGCACAAAACTTCCAATTCCCTGGCCACTGTCTGTAACATTTGTATTACAAATGTGCAAACCACAGCAAATAAATGTATATTTAAAAAATAAATAAATGACACAAATAGCCTACCTGAGTGAGACAAATTGGAGAATACATGACGAGACGGCAACACAAAACGTGAATGGACTTGGACTGATTCCTCTGATCACTTTATCGCGCCATTCCTGGACCGACGTGCACCGTGCAAGACTGTGGAGCAGCTCTCCGCGTAAAACGATACGAGGTTATCCAAGAACATCCATTAATTTTTGCGATCCAAAGATTGTCGTCTCCGCAGAAAAACAGAAGAAGATTTTTTATGCTGGAGATGTTTTTAAAGTTGACATGCAGGTATAAGCGCTTGCAAAGTTCTACCCGTAGAGCCGGTGCAAACGGGGCTGCGGCGTACTCCTCTGGCTACAACACGGGCTCTTTGCGCGCGTCTCGGTGCTGTGGTATCTCGTTCATAAAAGCATTGTGGGAAGCTTCAGAGGGCACCGAGTGTGTGATGTTCACCCCTTGCTTTAACCAAACTTGATGTGAAATCGACCGGTGCACCTTCAGTCCTGCGCGATTCCAGCAAATCAGACCCAACTTTTTTTTTTTTTTCACCCACGTAATTACACAGTCACACTCCTCCTCCTCCTCCTCCTTCTAACACACAACCCCTATCCACCATCCAGCACCTTCTTCTCCTCCTAGACGACCTGAAAACACAGCATACATATCACTCCAGCACATTTTTTTTCCGTGTCTATGTGTGTGTGTGTGTGTGTGTGTGTGTGTGTGTGTGCTTCGGGGACTTTGGAGCACAGCCTCGGTCACACAGAAACGGAAAAGGGACATTTCCCTCCTGCAGCTCTGGCACCCTTTACCCCCGAGCTCCGTGTCAACAACATGCGATCGCTCTTTTTCCAGTTTAGATAATTCAACGCAGTGTCTGTGGTTCACAGTAATACAAAAACTAACCAACTGTCTTTTTTAATTTGCCAGTCACACCTACGTGAACTCGCCTTAAAATGTCCTGAAAGGTCCCTGAAATAATCAGAATACGATCAATAGTACATCATATAAAAGATAAGGCACATTTTATGAAAATGTGACCTTTTTTTTAATGCATTGCCTTTTCAAGACATTTATACATTTTATTGTTTTGGCTACTGCAGAATTTGCCTGCAATCCTCTACAGACGACAGGTAAAAAAATATTTAAAAAATGACCTGGCTTAAAACTTTGTCACGTTACAATTAGTGTATCGAGGGGATGTTGTTTAAATATTGACTTTTAAAATGGCCGTGTACAGTTCGCCATACAGTGAACGGAATAACTGAACACGTGAATACCTCTTTAATAGACAGCTTTAAAACACTCATAACAAAGCTAGGTGTGTGTCACAACAACGCGCCGGTAAAGCTGGAAAGACTGGAAGTTAAACATTGCCACTTTGTTGCTGCAGCGCGTGCGTTTTGTGTGTCCTACAGAGCTGTCAGCGGTCCACGTAGAGTTTCATCTGCCAACATTTAAGGGAATGGGACGTTATAACATGGGCTGCCGGAGAAACCTGTGCCAAGTTTAGTCCGCTACGCTTTTGGCCCGACCGTGCCAGGGTGTTGTGGTCCGTGTTAACTCAACCCCACTTACAGTATTACAAAAAAAAAAAAGAAAATTGTATCACAAATATTATCATCAGCGTTATCACAACATTTGAAAAGCAGTAAGAACCCGTGTTCACGTACCATTGCACTGTACTGCATGGATTAATAGGGAATCCTGGAGCCTGGTTGAAACACACACAAGCCGGTAGCTTCACATTTCTCACGTTCAACTTTGTGCTTTGGAGGGTTTTTCTCTTGCGGTGTTCGCAAAAAAAAAAAAAAAAAGTCAACACCGGAAGACAAGTCTTTGCAGCGGTGAACAGAAGTTGGGAGCACCTCGCGGTTTTTTTTTTTTTTTTTTTTTTTTAAGTCTTGTTTTCCTTCCTCTTCTAGTCTTACTTTTTTGGATCGGGTTTTTTGGGCTTGTTCAGTGAAGTTGAACGTGATCCAGAAGAGGCTGAGTTTTCGGCACTGGGCTGGTCTCCGCCTTCACTTTCACTGTCTGTCTGACTGCCGCCCCTCCGGCTCTCAGCAGTAACCATCAAGTTGGATTTAATTCTAACTAGACCATTTCCGGTTAGACTTTTCCAAATACAATCCTTATTCTAGGAAACTGATTGAGCAATTTCTCTTATAAACCTATCAATATGAAACATGAATGCAATGCCAATCAACGTGAACATTGTTTGTAATAGATGAAATCTAGACACATGTATTACTTTATTACATTTTTTTCATGGCTCACATGGCATATACTGTATGTACCACTGTCCGATGCAACCCATGTAGACTATAATGTTGTTTTCACGAAATAGGATTGAAAACCAATCTCTTCAGCTTCTGTAGTGGGATTGTTTTGGAGTGTTATAATACAAAAAAAAATCCCACAAAATTCGAACTCATTAAAAGGCTATAACCTAAAAATCCCCAAAAATGTAGAAAGCCAATGGTTTTAACTGGATAATTAAATGTTTTTATTGTACTGCCATGTCTTAACGTAGACTAGTAGGCTACATACCATAGGATAATTGTAGCCATACGGGTGTTAATATTGTTCATAAGCCTATCGTAAACTAATAGTGTAATAATAAGCCTATGTAACAGCCTACCGGAATACATAGTTTTGTTAATCCCAAAATGAGGCAAATTCTCCCTCTTATTTTGAAAGCAAAAACTCAACCTTTTCCCCGGTATCATCGAGCTCTTTCCCTGAAGCTTCACACAGCTCCGTTTTGTAATAGTGTTTGCATTCTTGCCTCTCATTGGCCAGAATCAGTGGCCCCGGGACTCTCTGCCCTGGGCCCCTCACTTCCGCTCCTCTGACGCGTTGATTGGGGCTTGACGAGCCGCTGCTGGACAGTCGTCCAGAAAAGCTGTGTGGTCAAAGACTAATGGTGGAAATCACTGCAGTAATTACTGCTACAACTAAATTAGATAATTTTGACTGCCGTTATTATTATCATGATTATTTGCAGTTTAAAGAGGAGTGCCAGTATTAAACTACTATCAGATATTCTCCACACACACATCTAGACATTTCCAATAAGCATTTTACAAGTCAAACCATGTTCAGACCAAACATGTGCACTATAGTATACTAATAAAGGCACTTTTTTCCAGGTAATTATTTTTGAAATGCCATGATCCTTATAATATCCCTGTATTCTGTTCATTATAACACATACTTTTCACCATCATTAAAAAGTAATTCCCTCAATCCATCAAATATCAACAACAAAAATAGTGTTGACAGCACTGATTTGGGTAGGCCATTGTTCTGCCCTAATATATCATAATTATGATATAATGCTATTCTGATGTCATGGTGCTCATTAAGTAATAAGAATAGCAGTTGAACAGCAGTGATAGCAGTGGTAGGCAGTGTTGTAGCAATAAGTCATAGCACTGTAGTATAGTAGCCAATGGTGCAACGGTGCCAGTGCAGCTGACTGATTTAAAAACAGTAACCTGCCCTGGAAGCCAATCACAGTACACCAGAACAATCTCTGCAGACAACATGATTGTATACGACTTGAATGGATAGCCGGACAATAGATTTCACTGCTCTCTCTCGTCCCCGTTATCATGACATTAACACAGTATACACACTATCTAAAAATGCCAGTGCTGTCCTGTGGGTCCAGTATCTACATCACACACACACCTAGTTATCCGTTTTGATTCACATCCAAAAACAATTAAGCTAAGAGCATTCATTTGTGGAACAAATGGCTATAAATGGCTGATCAATGATCGTTTCAAGGCTGAAATTCAGACCGATGATGCTGTCTTTAAAAACAGTCCTTTAAACCCCTACTAAATGGAAATTTCAAGCGTACCTAATACATTTTGGAATACTTTGCTATTCACCCATTACTTATACACAAATAGTATTTTTCTTTTACAAGAATGTTTTCCTTTTAAATTGAGTGCGTTTTAATTTTAATTTCTATTAATGGGAAAGATGAAAGACTATCATTGTCACAGACCCTGACTCCATACTCTCTCTGCCTCCATGTATCATGCTAGTCTCCTGGCGCACATGGCATGAGCCTTCACAGATTCAGAGTCCATCCCTCTGAATGAGGATGTACCGCCCCCATGTGGTCACCAACATAACTGCGAGTTGCTTGTGCGGGACCCATTGGAGAATTAAACCTGAGGTGCTGTGTATGTTGTGGCTCTAATTTTAGTTTAGTGTTAAGAGAGTCTTATTAGAGCGTTTGAGTAAGTTAAGCAATTTAAAACACAAATTATGCACAAGCCTATACAGGAGTGTCACAAAATCTACTTTCTGTATTTCTCTATTTGCGGAACATTGGCACCATTAGGCCACATTTAAAAAAACACACCGGCACAAAAATGGTCAATCAGTCCGTATAATAAAAAGAGTTTACAAGCCACATTTGAACAAATCAACACTCTTTGGTAAAAACAAAATCCTGATCACATGGCCGGAAAAGCACAGGTGTTAACATTAACAAAGGCTCTCTTGAAATTCAGTGTGTCAGCGAGCCTGCATGCACGATACCAGTGTCTTGTTTTCACCATTAGGTGGCGACGTACCAGTTCTGTCCCTGTTGTGGCCATCTGTCATCTGGTTATAATCTAGTACATTTTATTATATCAAAATGCTGAACATTTACCTTACTGAACCAAAGTCTGGTCAGACAATACGAAACATGATTTGGATTCTCAAGAAAAATAACCATACTGTCGTACTAGGCTACTACTATTGCTACCACTTCTTTTATTAGTGATGTTCTTACAGCAAAATATGATGTGAATAATGATCCTTTGCCCATTAAGCTCAGGTTGTTAATAGCAGCAGGTACCTCACTGTGTGATCATGCCATTTCCTACCAATTACATCATTTCCTATGGGCATTTCACAACAGCTGGTAAAACAGCAGGTCCGCTGGTCTCTGCTAAATCCTTCAAAACTTTAATCTTAATATGAATTTTGAATTGAATGCCATTTGTGACCATGACACACATTGCATCATGTTCTGTCCCTGCTTGCTGAAATGACTCTTGAAATCCCTCCTGAGTTCTTAAAAGCACTAAAGCTCTTTCTTTACATGAACTGAGCAGAAAAGGTCAATTCTCCGAGCTCATATATGCACTGAGGCAGACAAACAGACCTCAACTTAAACCGTGGCGGTGGAGCACAATAAAAGCTTGCCTGTAGTCGTACAAGTAAATAAATATTCAGAAAGAAATGTCAGCCTGCGTTGCCTCTTCAGCATGGGAAAGGCGCGGGCTGGAGAAAGGGCTCTTTGTCCGACACGATCAAAGTAACACTGCAGAGGTTGGACAGAGAGGTGCACTTGAGGAACTCTCTAACACTGAAGGGAGGCTGAATAGTTCCTTTGCTTATTGATCTTGGCAAAAAATAACATTATTTTTAAAAGCCCATTTTGATAACTCCTCGCCATTTAAAATCCTTGTTTCCTTGCAGTGTCACTGGGTTTAAAACACTTCAATGATCAAAGTATCAACTGCTGGCCTTGAGGTTCACAATCATTTTGAAATGAACGTTAGTGCAGGGATGCTCCTAGAATATTGTGTTTAATAAAAGCTGAAAAAAATATCTCTTTTTAAATGTAACATGTGAAGTAAAGTGCTGCAGTGAAAAATTGTTCATTTTAGAATAACCTCCTCCACAATATCCCTCACGTCTGCAAATGTAGGCAATCTTGACCTGGGCACAGACACACAAAGACACAAACAACTCCTAAAAGCAACACAAAATGATGCCAATTAAATTCCTAGAGGGTAATCAGCAGAATATGATATTACCCAAACAATGTCAGAAGTCAGCATAACATTTTGGATAGGGTATCACATGAAATTAAGTTGATTTTGCTTGATGGCAAAGTTCTCAACAAAGGTGATGAAAAGAGGAAGAAATCAAGACAAAAGAGCTCCACTTACCATCCACCACGTCCTGGCTGACACGTCATAACAAAGCTGCCATTTAATGGACCTCTCTGTCAGTTTCCCAGCCATCGCTGCAGTGCTCCCGGCTGTCATCGCACGCAGTCCCGGTGGAAGACAGGACACCTAATCAAAGGGGCATCAGTGGAGGCATGCGGTGCTACATGTAGGCCAGTCCTCGTCGACGTTGCATCATGGGAAAGAAAAGAAAAAAAAAAATCTGCAACAACTTGACCAGTGACTTGAACATGACCAGTGGTAATTACAAGACCCTGCAACCCTCACCATCCCCCTCCTAGACCAACCTCCTCCCCTTCTCCCCCCACCAGTGCTGGGATTGACCCACTGGAGAGCAGCCTGATACCACTGTGTGTCACTGAGCTAAAGGTCGTTTAAAACAGTGAGATGTCTCAACACTTCTGCATATAAAAACGCATTGTTGTGGTGATTTTGTTCAAGGATTTGCTAATGCCACTGAAAACGATTGTTCTTTTTCAAAGAAACGGTCCGATCTAATACTTGTGTGAAGCAGTCACGAAGGCCGAAGTAATCACCAAGAGACCGGTTACATTCAATGTCTGGGTTTACTTGGGCCGACTGTACTTTGATCCATGAATTAAGACATTTGGCGCTTCCATGTAAATGTTATCTGAATGGCAGCAGAAAAGACCTTTTCTCTCCTGCCACATTCCAATCCTCCTCACTGAGGCCGCTTGCTGGCGGCTGGATTTCCCCACATGGGATGGTGGGTGGACTTAGCAACAGTTACTTAGCATTTGTTACAACAAACAGATGAAGTGAATCAAAACAGGGCTGCAATGCGTGGAAAATGAAGAATTCCACTTGACTTCATTGTGGTTTTTTTCAGCACATACACACTCAGGACAGAAGTTTCGCACTTGGGGTTCAATCCCACAAAATACAATTGGCAATTCATAGAAGGACTTAAACTCTGTAATGAAGCACCTGCAGTACAGACAGCATGCTGTATGTTTGCCTTACAGCGCTGATTGCACTGTATGGCTTCTTTTAATAAGTACGTTTGCAGCAGACCTTTTCCGCGCACCTGACTTTAATAAAACACTAATTAGGAGCCCTGTTGTGAGCCGGGCCAATTTAATTGGTTCTTAAACGCAAAGAGACGCCGAGCAGTCAACATGCGTCAACGAGAAGGCAAATGTCAGCTCATGACTGAGAAATTTGGAGTGAGTCTATATCATTGTTTTCAGCATCTTGTGAGGCTTTTGCACAGCTTGTTCTGTATGGTTCTATGTTGTTACATATTATTGCTGAATCAGCACATTGTTTAGCATTTCAAGAAGAAGTGGTTTAATATGTACAAGTGGCTTATAATGTACCGTGTGTTTCTCAAATTGTGCAGCTGACCTAAAGTGAGCTCTTCATTCTTTTAGAGAAAGGAAAAATGTTCTGAGCCAAGCTCACGCCAGAGCCGCGTGCACCTTATTGATTTTGAGGGTAAAATCGATACATTTCATCGTCTTGATTGGATTAACTGTTGCAAGTTCAACTTCTAATTGGATTTCTACTTTCTACAATGTGAGCTAATTTGAAAATCAATCGGCCAATCAATACCCCCGATGTTCAGGAAGTTCAGCTGTGGCGCTGAAGATGGAGGAACGTGTAGCGGACACCTGCCACACTGGCGACCCATCCACATGACTCGCTGAGGTCTAAAGAAATCTAATTATGACTTCATGAGCAGTGACAAAGAATACAATAATAGTTTCTCAATATGTCAAGTGGAATCAGAGAGTCAGGGTAATTTCAGAGATTTAAAAAGACAATTGGATTGTTTTTTTGGAGCCTGAATGATGAGAAAAAACACCAATAATAACAGCTAAAAAATAATTTCTTGTCAAATATGTGGGATCTTAACTGAAGCTCTGAGTAAGAAAAGCGTGATATTGGGGATGACCCTTATTACTAAGTCATATAGGATAAATGCCCCATATGGATAGAAATCTAAAAATGATCATGCTACCCATAATTTGTGATCCGATCATAAATTTATCTTCCATCTCCGAGACTTAATCCTTGTCTAGGCTTGGCAAAATGGCAGCAGAACACGCCAAGCCACTAACTCCAATCCTAGACAGGTACACAGCCTCGTATCTGAGAGATAACTGTTCCAAGCATAGTTTGTGTTTATCAGGCATGTGGCTAATTATTTCTTTTGTTCAGCCAGATGTCATAGACTGCACAAGTAGCAGGTGGTCATTTATTTAATTAGGCCATTTGACCAACCATTACCAGAGCTTAAGAGCACATTTAACCCAGACCGTCCCAAAGCCCAAACTCCCAAATTAAATGTCACCCCATGGCTCATTAAAACATACTGGTGTGTTATATTTCATTACGAAAACCGGTTTTGGGATATTAGTTCTAAAAACAGCAACAGAAGCGGAATTTCTTCCAGGACCAAACATGTTTTGTTGTGTTTTCCTTTCTAATTAACATATTTTCAAAGATATTAAGCAGCTCAATAAACATCAAGCATCCACCATTATAAGAGAGATAACTTTAAGGCATTTTGTAATTGCTGACAGCGATGTTTTGTAATATTCAACCCTGATAGTATATAAGGGACGCTCAAATTGCAGTCCGGGGATTATGAGGTGTGAGGTCTCCATTAAAATTTCACTGATATGTTATTTGTTCTTGTAAAGACAAACTGTATGGATTTAGATATTCAAGGTTTTTGGTTAATCAAGCCCAAAGCGGTTGGGTTTGCTGAGGGCAATAAAATGTGTGTATGCGGGTGTTCAGTGTGTGTTTAAAACATCTAACCATTTTAGACAACACAACATAGATTATATTCACGGCACATGCACACATTACACACGCCTCACTGACACTTAAGAACTGTTCGAGACAATGACCATTTGGTTGGAGACAGCTGAACTGCTGCTCGGACTCTTATACTGTGACACGTCGTACTGAGGCCGAGTTGAACCGCATTCAGGGCAGTCTGACTGTGATACTGCAGAGTCAGGTATTTAGTGCAAAATTGGCTGAAAATTAGATCAAAAATGTTTTTGTCCATGGCAGAAAACATTACGTTTCATGACGTTATTATGAGTCCATTGAAATGCTACTAGGTTTAAGGTGCGTATTAAACAGCTAATGCTGTAGTTATCATCTATTTTAAGGGAATGGGTGTGTTGAACAGGTCACTAAGATCAATCTTGTCTTGTCTGACTGTGGGCCTCTGTGTCATCACATTACACATTTTACGGCTGATTACATCACTTGACAGACGAAGGGAAACCATTGTCTGCAGTCTTTTTATATGCTCCATCAACTTCTTTCTAGAAATTGCTCGTGAAAAGTAATGTCCCTTCTTACCTGCTCTAGCTTCCAAGACATGAAAGAGCCTTCCTGTTCATTTGGTCGGGTTACGAAGCCCCGAAGCGGACAACAATTTTGTAGTCATATCAAAAGATGTAATGTTGGGTATGGGGCTAGTTTCAGAGCCAAGGTCTCCATCTGTTTCTGAAAATACTGACATCATGTTTACTAGTTTATATCCTTATTTCCATTAAAATAAAAGCTTCAGCTGCAGCCCAAATGTAGGCTGCTACACATCAAGTAGAAGAAAGGAGAAAAGAATCAGCTCAAACGTATCCCGAATCTAATTTATTAGAATATGAATACCTAATATATGATGTTTGTATTCATTATATAATCACAATGAATAGTTTTCTCACATTTCATAGGCTTTCTGGACATAAAGAAATGGATAACATTATTGATGGTGTATTCCTTTAATTCCCCAAAACTTAACGGTTCCAGAGTTTGAGGTCTGAACGGAAAAAAAATAATTTGAAAACACATTCTGAAAAGAGCAAATGAACAATGTGAACCAAACTACACAGGTCCAAACTGAGAGCCCTGTGGGACGCCAGTTAACAGCTGTGAGGGGAAGAGAGTGAGCGGTGCGCAGCCCCTCTGAAAGTCTCCTGCAGCATTCGAATTACTAACAACATCAGGTGTAATAGGAGGATATAATGTAAAACTATACACAGCAGCTACAGTAGTGTTAATCTTGGCTGAGGTTACTGGTACAGACGCCGTGTTTAAATCTGGTAATCCCTGGTTAGTGAGTAATAAGTGAAACTTTTTTAAACCCAGTTTACTTCACAATAATCACGTGTTTTTCACTACTGCTGTAACAATACAGATGGCTTTACTTCTACACAATGCTTATTGCTTTCAAAAAGTACTTGTCAAAGAAACTGAATGTGATCCATCCCCCTTATTTAATGCCATTCACACACATCATCCCACCACCAAACCAAAAGAAATCACACAAACATCCAAGAACCCTGAATCTGTTATAAAAACCACTGAGCAAAGTTACCAACACACACTCATGCAAAATCCGAACAATCCCAATTTCAGATACGAACGAAAGAGAATTTACACGTAAAACATGACAACTTTAAGTGGAGACTTTCTCTCACAAGTACCATCGATGCAGCAAAACAGACTGTGTGCTAAGTGTGAAAATCAGTGCATAATATTAAAACTGCTACCTTCACAAAGTTGGTGAAACATGCATTTACTGACCGCCTGCTGACTATTGCAACATTTCCCCAGGTCTTTGGCTTTTATGGAGACGCAACATGATGACGACGATGTACGGTGAGAGTAAGAAGACCTAGAAAGGCACTTAAAACTACTTGGATATTGTTATATTTCCCACATATGGCAAGCTTGGTTTACATACAGGTTTATCTATGCGATTGCCAAGTGTTAAAGACAGTGACAACCATGCTATGCCAGTATTATTATGCACTGAATCATCTTCTACTTAAGTATCCTGTGAAAGAATTCATTAAAAACCTCTAAAACTGTACCATAGCGTAACAGCAAACCCATCATAAATAAATCAGTGTCAAGTGTCGACCAGCTGTATGCCATCACATACTAAACCGCTAGTTTTTTACTGATAAAGATATGCGCTTATAAAGCCACTGGCTCGGACACATTTAAGACCTAACTGTGACAGCTGCAGCACTAAAAGATCACATATGATATTGCACAATAGACGTGTTAGTGGTAATGTGCGACCGTTGCATTGTAAGTGCTATGGTTGACGGAGCGGACAAGCTAAACAGACTCGATTTAAAGGAACAGTTACACATTTTTGGAGTTACGGGGTATTTGCTTTCTTGCAGAGAGTTAAATGAATAACTCGATACCTCTTTGCCGGCACAAGAGTCTCGACCTTCTCGTGTATAAATCCCAAAACGTCAAACGCTTTAAAGATAACCAGAGTAATTTAAGCTCTCTTAATATCTTTGATAGTATGTGACACTCACACGATGAGGTCATGGTATCAATTGGCCGTGGAATGTTTGTTATGCTCAGAGAAACGACTCGATTATACAGCAGGTTTTGTCTACGACATGTACAGCCTAATATTGACAGCACACACTTGGTGAAGTGTTACTCTCTGCTCTGCTTCATAGCCGGCCCCGGTCACGTGTGTCGTAAAAGTGTCACATATCAGTATTCAAGCTGTGCACTTTGTTCTGTGGCCATGCTTGATAAAACAATCTCTTCATAGATAAAAGGTTCATAGAACAATGCAGGAAAAAACATTCATGAATCTTCAAATGACAACAGGAGCGCAGTTGACGCCGGATCACTTCGCAAGAGAGCTGGAGGATCACCCCAACCGGAAGAAATCATAAAAACGAATACACTGCGCATGCATGACAAATAAAACCGACACAGTGACAGTAAAAGAAACAAGGCACAAACCTTATACAAAAAAAACGGCCTTCCTAATAGACACACTGGTTCTGCCTGTAGCTGATTAAAGGTCAGTAGTAAAGGCTCTTTGTTAAAGTAACCTGAGAGGGGTCCCTTTCGCCAGCTGCTTCCAGGTAAAGACTTCTATCCTTCTGATGCAATTAACCATTAAAAGTGGTTTCCAAATGTTTAAAGTAGCAGTCACAGTGAGTAAAAAAAAAGCAACAATTCCCCCCATCACTCCCCTTGTTTCTTCACCCTGTTTGCTGCCAGTCTGGGCCTTGTAGAGAAAGGCAAAACAAAAAATTTTAAATTCTTAGAGTTTCCGGAGACAAAGACTGCTGCCCAGCTCTCGTAGCACAAAAGAGGACGGTGAAGGCGAGCAGATGGATTCCAAAGTGTGCATCGAGTGTTTCATCACGGCAGCCAGCCCCCTCCTGTCTGTGCGAACAGGTGGTGCTGTAGCGCTGCCGGCCTACACGTGGGTGCGGAAGTGGTGGCCGGCTTGGATGGGCTGTCTGCTTCGGAGCGGGATGAGCCACAGGAGTTTCCAGCGAGTGCCGCAAACTTCCGCTAGCGCCCGCTGCCAAGATTTCTTTGAGCCATATCTGAAAAAAAGAAGAAGAAGAAGAAGAAGAAGAAGAAGAAGAAGAAGAAGAAGAAGAAGAAGAAGAAGAAGAAGAAGGGAAAAAATGAATTATTTGTGTTAAAACTGAGTAAGAGTGATACTAATTTCATATTCGTGTTCGAGCTGACGGTGGAGGTAGCAGCCGGTTAGCTTAGCTTAGCATGAAGACTGTAAACAGGGAGAAACAGCTAGCCACGGGAAAACTAAATCCGCCTACATGCAGCTTCCAAGGCGCACAAACTGATATATTCTTGCGAGGAGCCTCTGTTGGCTGACAGACAGCCTCAAGGTGACGACAAAACTCCCAGAAGTCATTGCGCCCAGCTAAGAACCAGTTCAGCACATAATCCCCAAAAAACCACAAGCTGTCGTTTTTATAAAACATTTTGGGGGAGCTTTAGAGGTGGTGGTAGATGTGTTTTGTTACCTTTGGAAGGAGCCATGCTAACCATTCCCCACTGTTTCCAGTCCTTATGCTAAGCTAAGCTTAGCTTCACATTTAACGGACAGACATGGGAATAAGTGGGGCTTTAGGACAAACAGAGTTAATAAACAGACTCACATTTCATTTGAGAACTGGGCCATTTTCTCGATGGTGGTAGTGTCCTGTAAGGGGGACAATGTAAAATATGATGATCATTTCATTTATTGCTCCTGTAGACAGCTCCACCTATTGAAAATAGTTTTTTCTGTAAATAACAGATCAAGTACAGACGTTTCTACCATTACAGCTCTGTCGAAAATTATTGATGAAAGCTTCAAATTACTTTGGCTTGTAACAAAATCATGTCATCAAAGATATTAAGACGCATGCACGCAGCCCGACCCCAGCCTTTCTCTCTTGTTTCGTTTCTATTGATCGCTCCATTACTGCCATTGATTGGTTTATTTTTGTGTACTATGTCATTCGGTTCCGTCTGTAGCTTTGTGTGCTGCGGCCTCTTTTTTCGCTAGATTGTTCTTGAAAAGACAGAATTAGCTTTCAATCAGACAAACAAATAAGTACCACCATGCTTGTTCTATAGATCCAACAAAGCAGTGTGTTAAGAGCAGACATAATCACATTGACATAATTACGGCAGTGAATGTCATGTCTTCTGGTCATTACGCAGTACTCACAGAGAGGATGCCTGTCAACTGAGTGTAAAACATGCTGGTCATGCCTCCAAACATGACCAAACCCATGAGCGCTGAGACTCGCAGCAGAGCCAGTTCATGGCGCGTTGTAAACTTCTCCTGGCAGAAGAAAGCAAAATGGCAACGAATGAAACAAAGCATTTAGCCTCCTCACATAGCACTTTAAGATAACTAATAAACACAGGCAATACTGCTGCAAAACATTGCTACACATGCATGTCTGAAACGCAATCTGTAAGCTCTGACAACATTTGTTTTTTGTGGACTTAGGGTATGATTTACTCATATTCCTGTGGAACGTACCTGGTCTTGTCCTGTAAGTGGCTGAAAGTAATAGTACTGGCAGAAGTCCAGCACCAAAGTGAACAAACTGAGGACCTGAGTGTAGAAACAGAGCTGCAGGAAGAGCCAGTGGTTGTCTTCTCCCACACAGTTATTGATCCTGGAAGGAAACAAACAGGATTTAAGATATGACCTTCAATCATTTTTGGGCTATTTTCATGAAAAATATGTTTTTCCAGAAATATATTCGCAGCGAAAGCCTTCTATTCTACTCGTCAACATGGTTTTCAAAAGGCGTCAGATGTGTACGGTAAGAGCTTTATTAGTATGTGTGTGCATCCTCACCAAGGACAGTGATGGTCCATTCTGCGTACACAATGGCCACAACGACTGCAGTGGTGGGACCGTTTGGGTCTCATTAAGTTGCACTTATTGCACAACTCCCAGTGCTCTCGCTCTGTGACATAAACAAACTGTTGGTTATTACAGACATAGTGACACAGTAATAACATATTCAAACCCATTTACTGTGGTCTAAAGACCGACTGAGAGGTATTAGCTGATACTAAACTGGTAGAGAATTTATTATGCTGGTATAAAGATGCATGGGCAAACAGTCACACTTGGATCCATACCAGCGTGAGGTATATGGGGGTCCACAGGAAGACGGCCGGGATCTGCTGTGGAAGCTCTCAACAGGGCCGCGATGCAGAGCGTCGACGCGATGTAATAACCTGAGGGAGTGTGCGGTGTTTAATTCCAGTTCAAGTTAAATGTGTGTCAACAAAGAAGTTCCTGCAGGAGGACACTCACAAACTACTATGGCCCATGGGATGTGTCCCTCGTTGTAGTGCGGAAGCAGAACCAGTTTGGGGATGAAGAAAGTGTTGTAGAGCCAGATCCCAAACACCATGCTGACACACAGCCAGCCCATGGGGTCCACCACAAAGTGCAGGCGAAGCTTCATGGCTGCTGGCACTCCAGAGGGGGGGGGGGGGGGGGCGCGGCAACACTTACTCGGCTCTACACCACACC